GCCCCAGCCATATAAATTTAAATGAAGCTGCGATTATTTAAATCGCGGCTTCATTTCCCTCTGCCGATCAGCCTAATCTACATGGCTCCGTCAACGGAGCCATGTAGTTTAGACACACCCTTAGAATGCTCCCCTCATCAAAAATTATTGCTGAACCCCTTGCTAGGGACACCAGTCCTGCCCTTGCAGGCTCATAGCCATTGAAGGACTTATCCTCCATGAAATTATTTAGCTCTCTTTTGAAACCTGTTAAAGTCCTGGCCTTCGCAACATCTTCTGGCAAGGAGTTCCACAGGTTGGCTGTGCCTTGCACGCCCACATGCCAGTTACCAGTTATTTCCCTAGAAGCCCATTTGCTGCAGTCCAGGATTTCTATCAGTGACTGAATGGTGACTTGTTGGTGAGGTATTTATCAAGGTGGAAATTCCCTCCTCCTGCTTAGCCATAGAGACAGTTCTAGACTCATACTCTGGCCTAGACTTGGCTAGGCATCTCATCCTGAGCTGAGCCACACAGCCATGTAAACAGAGGCAACTATACACCAGTGGCTGGTAGAACAAAGATCTGGTGCAGTGAGCAATTCAACTGCAAGTTGCCTGTAAAACAGGGAAGCACGGTGGTCGAGTTGGGCTTCCCTGTGCAGCGACAAATGACATTGCTTAATGTTACAAAAATAAGGTGAAGAAAGGGAGTTTTCTTAATATCGTGTCCTCCACAGTGGGATCTGGGCATTGCTTAGGGCTAAGGGAGGGTACCCCTTTTTCAAAAAAAAAAGTACCCCCAGGAGCTACAGTTTTCAGACACACACCATTTTTTTGTACCATTGCAACGCATTTGTTTAAACAACTTAATCGTAGCCGGGCGGGCGATGAAATTTTGGGTATAAAAAGAACAAAAATAATGAAGAGCTGTAAAATGTAAAACAAAAATTCTGTTTTCTCCAGATTTCAGTTGTGTTGACGTGTACCCTCCAGACTTCTCTCGAGTACCGCTAAGGGTACTCAGACCGCTAGCTGAGAAACACTGGCTTAGTCCATCAAAGAGCATCATCCTGAGCCTGGTACTACAAAGACAAGAATTGCCCCAAATGATGCTGTTGGTAGTGAGAAGTATCCGGCTCTTAGCCAGGGGCCTTGCTAGCATGAGGAGACTAGTACAACTCCTCCCCTCTAGGAATAATGCCCTGTGTAATAGGAACGCTTGTGGAACTAACAACATGATATGGGACATAGGCTGGTTTTCAGCATAGTTCTTGCAACAAATCTATAGCCCTCTTATTCTTCAGTTATTGCCGTGGTGTGCACTGTAGTATCAGCAACCAAGTCCAGAATCTTATGCCCTAAAACAGATTCTTACCACTTGAGCTCAAGGAGAATCTCCTTTGAGAGGCTTGTAGTACAGGGGCTTGGACATACAGACGAGTTGCTCTGTTTCTAGCCACTAGAGGACAATGGTGCATATACAGTAGCCCCAGGTCATTATAAAAGTGCCAAACGGGAGGTTTCAGTGGAATACAACAGCCAGGTCATTATAAAAGCGCCAAACGGGAGGTTTCAGTGGAATGCCTTTTTGGAAAAGTAACTGCACAGCTCTCCATGCAGCAAACCACCCCAAGCTGGGGTTGGTCAAGTACACTATCTTGACTCTCCTGATGCTTTCGCTGTGTTAAAGGATACAGTTTCTCCTCTCGTTGGCTTTCCAATCAGTGGCCTTAAATGTTTAAATCCAGATTGGAAGGCTGCCATTCAACTGTTCAGTGACTAGTTAACTGACAGCTCTGGACTAAATCAAAGAATCTGTGGCCAAATATATCTACCTGCAGTTTACCTTTCAGGAAGCAGGAATATTTACCATACCATATCAGTCATCAGTCTACCATGGAAACCAAATCAGCCAAAAAAAATTTAACGGGGCTCATGAGGCGATACAGGCCTGTTGCACTACCCAGTGTGGAAAACACCCAGTTCATCCCAGCATGCAGTTGCTAATCAGTGGTACGTGTTGCCCAGATGTCTGGCATGCATGGAGCTCCCATTAGCACTAACGAGCTGTATGCGTTCACCAAAGGGATAGCCCTGTCACAATTCTGAACTGGGAACTGGGGCACTAATTGGCACCTATGAACTGGCATTTGGCCTAATTGGGTCTTGGTCCATCATAAAGGCTTTTGTATCTTCAAACCCCTATATGTGGCCTGAGGGCTAGGTTCAACTGCAGGGTCATTCGCCCTGTTCTCTCTCATATTGTCTCTGTCTCCCATGGACCGGTGAATTCGGAAAGATCTGTCTCTAGACATGATGCCTCAGAGTTTAAAACAACTGCGCTGTTTGAAAATCTATTCAGTGTGCATTGTGTAATGGGTGCTAATGGCTGATCTCTCACTCCGGTCATGGTGCCGCCTGTTAAATGAGGCTGAAAATGTTTCGAAGAAAGAGCACTGTCCATTGAGAGCCATCGCGCTGCGAAGAGGTGATGCAGGCCTGCCTGGCTCTCTTGTCTCCCTCTTGCGCTGCGAAGAGGTGATGAATTCGTGAAATGGGCAGGCCTGCCTGGCTCTCTTGTCTCCCTCTGAATCTTATGAACAGGTTATACTTCCCCACCAAGCAGTACCCCTTCCACATTACCGTTCATCAAGAACTCAGACCTAAGCGACTGGGGAAAACCTAGCCCCTTTTCCTGCGCAATACTGTATTCCTCTAAATCCCACCTTCGTACTTTGGACCTTTACCCCCAGGCTCAGGCTGAAACGCACATGTCCTCGTCCGTATCTTGTTATCTTGTCTGCCACAGGCCACTTCTCCCTACTAGGTCTCTTTCTTTGGTTTCCCTGTAGGAAAGGAACCACAGCTGGAGTTGTTACTGAGCCTTAGAGCCCACTGAACTTGTTTTCAAGGCTGGGCTCTAAACCCAGTGCTTGGGCATTTGTGTCCCTGTGGGACCCCCTCACAGAGGTATTAGGCACATTGCTATCTGTATTCTCTAGCCCTTTGAGGCTCCCCAGCTGGGATCAAGGCCCCTTGTGCTGGGTGCTGTACCGGCATATCAGAGCCATTCCCTGCCCTGACAGCCTGAATAGTTAGATTATTATCAGGTGGGATGGGAGACACAGGCACAAAGAAAAACAACTCTCCTAAGGTCACCTAGCGGATCACTGCAGAACCAGGACTACAAGTCAGGTCTCCTGGCTGCAAGCTCAGAGCTCTATCCATTAGGCCTCACCATCTTGCTTCCTCCCCTCTCCGTCTTGTTTGTGGCCAACTTCTGAGGAGTCCCATGGTGCCAGACCAGGTGGGCAAATGATCCAGTCTAGTAGAACACCCTGTGTGCTTCATTGCCGCCTCCTGGTGACTGAGCCCCTGTGCCCAGCCATGGAGCAGTGCCGTGTAGTCCTGGCCTCTGCCTCAGCCAGGACATAGGACGGGCTGCCCTGAGAGCCTGCTGAAGCTGCTCTGCTTTGCTAACTCCCTGCTGTGTCTCTTCCAGAGAAGTACATGGAGTTTGACCTGAATAACCAAGGCGAGATTGGTGAGTGACCCCTTGCGGAACACCTCCGTGTTGCTGGGCCAGAAGGAGAGTGGTCTGTTGGGGCAGACGTCACGACAGCAAAGCATAAGTCTAGGGTTGCTAGTTCTCTCTCAAACACTGTCTCCAGGTGCTGATAGAGTCCAAGGGCTGCTCTTCCCTGGTCTCCCCAAATCTCTTGCCTCGGGACTGTGGAACCTCTTCTCTATCATTTGGCTCCTGAGAGGCCGACATTGTCCCCATATGTCCAGCCTCCTGTCTGTGCTTTTTCTCTCTGGATCTCTACCTGCCTGCTTCAAGCATTAGATATCTCTGCTCTTGGTCCTACCTCCCCTCTTTCTCCTGGATCTCTGCTCAGCCCTCTGGCTTCTTTTTCTGTTCTTGGCTCTTCTTTCCTCTTGGTTCTCTCTCCGCAAGTATCAGGAAGAGCCGTGGATTGCTAGCTAGAGTTTTGTGCTTGGGTGAGCCTGTGGCCTCAAGGCTTTGTGGGTTTGAGGTGGAAGCCAGACCGAGTCCCTAGGTTCCACTCAAAACCAAAGCTCGCTTGTCCTTGTCCACCTCCAGTCTTCTCTTTAGAGGAAGAAGGGACTGCCCGAGACCACTGTCAGGTGAGTTGTAGGCTGTGGAGCTGGGCCCAGTGTTCTGTTTGCACCCGCTGAGTTCTTAATGGTTTTTAAGGATCTTTTCTCAGATCACGTAGTAGTTTCCCTGGGACAGGCCCCAGTGGCTGAAAGAGAGATGAAGCCAAGCCACAGTGTCCAGATCCAGACTTCTGCAGTACTTAGGATTTGGGTCCAGGGTCTTGCTAACTTCCCCAAAGCTCAGCGTATTCACTGTATCTGTCTTGTGCATTCTCTGGGGGCCACGGGCTCCTCCACCTTCCCTAGCTGATCCAGTGTCCCTGGTGGGCCGGGAGGGAGAAGGAGATCTGGCTCCAAACGCTGGTGCTGGTTACGGGGTGGAAAGGAGCCTGCAGCTCATTGTTCAAGTGAGAACAATCTGAAGGAAATTGCCTCAGACTCTGAGGGTGGGGTTTTAGCACCATTTCCAACGGGCCTGTTTGGGTCTGTCTTGGTTTCTTTAATATTGGTGTCTGGGAGGGAGAAGGAGACCTGGCTCCAAATGCTGGTGCTGGTTACGGGGTGGAAAGGAGCCTGCAGCTCATTGTTCAAGTGAGAACAATCTGAAGGAAATTGCCTCAGACTCTGAGGGTGGGGTTTTAGCACCATTTCCAACGGGCCTGTTTGGGTCTGTCTTGGTTTCTTTAATATTGGTGTTTCTTTTTCTTCTCCCCCTCCCTTTCCTCCTCTCTGTTCACAACCATCCTCGCGAGGCAGGGTGGGGAAGAGGGCAGAGATGCCATGGTTTGCCCCAGATCACATAGTGAGTCAGTGGCAGGGTTAGGAATAGAAGCGAGGGGTCTGAGCCCATGCTGTGCCTCTCGTGGCGACACCTCAAAAGCCAAAACCTACGGGGAGGGTCTGCAAAGGTGGCTTTATACCACCTCAGCATAGGGCTGCTCCAGGGCCACTGGTCCTGGCACAAATCAGAGCAGCCCTGGGCTGTCTAACTTGCAGCTTCCACCCACCCCGGCACAGCCTCTGTGCTCAGGCTTCTGGTGGGGGCCGGCTTATGCTGTACATCAGGATAATCACCTCTAGCCAGTTTGGTCCCTGGAGGGCTACCAGAGCAATGTTGTGGGGCCGGGGCTTGGGCAGGAGAGAGCAAGTGGTAGATTCCATCAGGAGGCTGAATTCCCCCGTTTGAGGCACCTGGGTAAAACGGTATGAACACCACCGATACCTGTTAGCTGATTAAGCAAACTTGGACATCACCTGAAGGAAAACTATCGGCACTGCTTGGTTTCTGTGGAACCTTTCTGCTGCTGACTGGGGGCCCTGACATGGGGCTGCATCTCCTGCACGTGTTGTTTTTTTATCTTGGCAAGGGGAGGGCCTGTGGCTGGGGTGAGCCGCGGTTTTGCTGGAGGGCATTGAGCATGCTCATCATGTAATTGAAGGGGTGGGGAGTAGGGATGTCGCAGTGTAAACGAGTAAGCAGTTAATCTTCATGGTTACATGCACCCGCTGCGTGGGGAGGGGGCAGGCGGCTCGCGGGAGCTGGGATGTGGGGAACAGGCTTCGGCGCCATCTGCTGCACCCCCTCCTCTCCGTACATGGGTCCTGCCTCCCCCCCTGCGCTGCTGCCTCCATTAGATAGGCAGCAGCAGGGGGTGAGGGGGCGTGTGTGCATGTAACCGTGTCGGTTAACGGATGAGCCCCGATTTCAGCAGGTGCACGTTTACCACAATAAACAAATGTTAACATCGCTGGTGGGGAGGACGAAGTCGTTAATATCCGTGCCCTGTATCTCGGTTCAGCCCTGCGCGGTCTCCCGCCTCCACCATGCCTGGCAATGGTGCGGGGGCTCTTGCTCTTGCAGATCTGATGTCTGTCAAAAGGATGATGGAGAAGCTGGGGGCTCCAAAGACGCACTTGGAGCTGAAGAAGATGATCTCTGAAGTGACGGGCGGGGTCAGCGACACCATCTCTTACCAGGACTTCGTCAACGTGATGCTTGGCAAGCGCTCCGCCGTCCTTAAATTGTGAGTGGCGGGGGGGGGAGAGGAAGGGCGTTGCTGGGGTTTGAGCTCCACGCTGCGGGGGTCTGAGGGGGGGCCAGGTGCAGCAGGAGGCAGGGCCTGTTCTGCAGGCTCCCGAGGCACAAAGATGGAGTGGGACCGACACAGGAGGAAATTTCTGAATGGGGAAAGGAGGAAGGACGTCTCCGGAGGGGGGATGGGCAGATGCGGCTGGG